TGATGCGCGTTTTTTTTTAAACCGTAGTATCACGAAACTGTGATTTTATAAACCAAATAGTCACAAAACCATAGATTTAGAAAAAAGAGATCGTGAGTGGAGTTTCTATAACTCTAAAACAACTGCAGTTCTGACAAAACCATGGTTTTAGATACCACAAGATTTGTAGCATCCAAACACCCAGTAGCTTTTAAAAAACAAAGTATTTTGTAAAACCATAGTATTTTTTCAATACATCAAAAATACTTTGCATCCAAATATGACCTAAATCCAGAGCAATCATATACTTATTACCCCCACTCCGTTGGCTCTGCAGATCAAATCGCCTAATTGTTACTCCTAGCTAGTTTCTTTCTCAAAGATGTTGTTACCATTCGAGCGGGGCATGGTTGATTGATTGCTGGTCTGTGACGACGCCGGCGAGCCAAGTCAGGGTTATTGTATATATATTTGGCGTTGCCACACGCCATATATGCCCGCTAGTAGCATTTGTAAATTCTACCATTCTATCAATGCAACAACAACATCAACAACATCCAGCAGTCATCCACGATGCGCACAATGGCACGAGGACCTCGAGCAAAAGATTTAGCCCTTGTTCGCTTCGTTGAAAAAATAAACAAAAACACTATTCCAACTCATTTGGTGTGAGAGAAAAATAATATCACATCTAAAAAAAGCTAAAAAAGATACATTATAAGAGAAACGAACAAGGCCTTAGGGCCGGGGGCCTCCCACACATGCTTTTTTTAATAACCATCATCAGTGCGCATCACACAGTTTGTGTGTCACAAGCAAACAAATGCCATGCATGCATGGCTTCCATGCTGCTAATAACAATTGGGGCCGAAAAGAATGTGGGGACTATTAAGTTGCATGCACCGATCAGTTCAACGTAAAAGCTTAAGCTGATGGAAAAAGGTGGACAATTAACTTATATTCCAACGCTCCCTCTCACATGGAGGCTCCCTCAAGCCTTAGATGTGGAATAGGAGCGAGCAACAATTATTTTATTTAATTACACTAACCAGAGTTCGAACTCGAGACATGTGGCTCTGATACCATATTAAGTTGCATGCACCGACCGGTTCAACCTAAAAACTTAAGTTGATGGTAAGAGGTGGACAATTAACTTATATTCCAACAGGGACGAAAAGAGAGAGCTTGATGGGCTTAAATAAAGCTGGGAATTAATCTACCCTACCCTATAATACACCAGTTAGAATAAATCTACAGCTACACAACAAATGCCTGCTCCACAGTCATGACCTATGTTACATCCACACCCATGAATGCATCCAGAAAATATAACACCATCGAAACAGATGCATCAGATTATCTCTTAGTCATTCTCACCATCGAAACGGATGCATCAGATTATCTCTTAGTCATTCTCTCTCATTACTCATCCAAATCCGATGATTCATGTTTAGTTTATCTGCCCTCCATCACCCTCCCGTGGAAGGAAACGCACGAGAAGGACCGATCGAAGCCTGAAATCTCTCCCCTCTCCTCCCGTCACGGTACCGACCCCTCTTCTTTCCGTTATCACCCTCCTCTCTCTTCCAGATCGGCAACGCGAGGAGTGCAGCTCCGGTGGGGTGATGCGGCGCTCGGGCCCCGATGGCGGCGGGGGAAAAGGAGTGCAGCTCCCGCCGGCCTCTCCGCCCGCTCGCCAGGCACCGTCGCTGCGCTCCCTGCCTTCCTCTGCTACGCGACGCGACGTCCGCCTCCCGCCGCCCTCTCCGCCCGCTCGCCAGACACCGTCGCTGCGCTCCCTGCCTCACTCCATCAGCGGTAGCCGGTGGAGATCAGGCGGAGGCCGCGCGCTCGCCGTCGTGCATTGGAGCGGGTGCACCGTCCCCATCGCGATGGCGCTAGCAGTCACGGCCGTGGTTGTCGAGCGGACACGACATCATCGCCCTTCCATCCAGTGGTGTCCGGCGGCGAACAGGTGTCCGGATTCGGCTCCTCTCTCTCCCTACGCACGTGTGGCTCCTACAAGTCCCAAGGGAGTCCACGCGCTACTCATATCCACGCACTACTCCTACAAAGAAGTGAGTTTCTTTGGACACAATTCGATTTTGTCAGGCATGCAGCACAGGAGCATTGAGTTGCTCGTTTTCATTTTGGCTACCATGCTGTATTTGCTTGAATCGAATTTTCATTTGCTCGACTCGATTCAGTCAAGAGAAGCCATTTCATGTTATTTGGTAGCAGCAGCAAACTAACAATTCCTTTTGACTTGATAATTGTCTGTTTCTGTTGCGTGCTTGTGTTGGCTAATGAGCAGTAGTGTATCTGTAGCATCTCCACAACTCAGCTCTGTTTTCAGGTTGCCAAAGTGCAGTTCAGCAACTGTTAATTTTCATCATCTCACTGTTCGTCCATTTCAGAGTTGCAGTGAACATCGGTAGCCTGTAGTCTTGTTTGATCTCTCTGCAATTCACTGGCATCGAATTGCGACCCGAGGAACTCTTCCTACACCATTCTTTCCAAATTTTATTCTGTTGTCAATTGCTTGTACTAGAGACCAATAGATTGTCACGACGTCTGCGGTCTGCCATCTGGATTCTTAATCCAGTTGACTGCTTCAATGCAGGTACTCTTCGGCCTCTGTCTGGCTTTGCATCTTTGGCACCGCACTGGTGGTTCTTGGGCACAGCATCGTCGTGATGTGGATCATCACCGTCGCGTCGCGCTCTGCCGTGGCCCGTAGGTGCTGCTCCCTGACACGCGCGTTGATCATCACCGTCATCGCTATCAGGTGCGTTGGCAAGCAGACGGCGACTGCACATGCGTGGCATTGCCGCTGATTCCTTTTGTTCTGAATGTCGATATTAGCTGTGGTTTAGTTCTGGAGTCTATCACAGGGCTGCACACGTTACCATTTTGATGTTCTATATATGACGCGTCCATTTCTTTTTTTCCCTCAAGTTGTAGAATTTAGCCCACGACAACAGTTTAATTTTGCTATTAAACATCTCAAAATGATTGAATTGAACAGCCATATGTTTCAATACCAGCGCAGTTTAGCAGTATTGCACCCACTTCTTCTTTACTCAAAGCCATCTAGCCACCAATGTTTGTAATAATTTGATCTTACTTATGACAAAGTTTTTTGTTACTACCTGCTAAGAAAGCACAATGCAAGTTATTTGTCAATATGCCAATACCATTTCTGAATGAATGTCAATTTCAAATTCAGGTTTGCAAGATAGTTCCCAGGCAGTGTTACCAGAAAAAGCTGGAAGGCAATCAGGTTTCTACTCTAAGGAAGGAAGTCAACCTCCATCTAGCCTGAATAGGAGCAATCCAGTCGTCAGGTTCATGATCACACTGCACTTTGTGTAATATTGTGTCAGCTGTGAATTGATAACAAGCCCATTCCCTGTAGTTTTGCTGCTTCTCAAATTCATCTTAGTTGCCTAACTCCGGAGTTTTCATTTTTGTTTCACCAGTGCTTATCTATGATTATAAGCCCATTCCACTGAGATAGCTCCTGACTTGAAAATGGGGACGCCGACGCACGGACGCACTGCGTTCAGCGATATAACAAACATCCATTCCCCAGGTACATGCATAGACACATATTACCACAACATAGATACAAACAACACCATGTATAACAGCTTGCACTGAAGAAGAACGCAAGAGGGAGGAAAGCAACATGAAACAACGTGAGTACCGCGCTACAATAAGGGCTCAACAAACCAATGAGGGAAGGGAGGAGAGAAATAGGAAGCAACATGAGTATCGTGCGTGGCGAAAGGCTGAATCAAGTGCACTTTCAATACCACCAGATCAACCAGGATCTTCGGCAGGTAAGAATACCCTATTTAGAATGTGTCTACTTATCAATGATTAATCGAAAATGACTTATTGCTTATCATGAAGATTAATATTTTTTTTTATATATATCAACATTTTTATGATGCCAAGTGGGTTAGTGGAAGCATGCAATGCAAGTTTTGTTACCTATATACTCCTACATATATATATATACTCCCTCCCTCAAATTAAAAGTGTCATTTTTTACTTTTAGACTTCTTTGTTTAACCATTTATCTTATTCAAAACGTTCATGCAAATAATAAAATAAATAAATTATTATTAAAGTATTTTTAATGATAAAATAAGTCATAAATAAAATAAATAATATTTATATAAAAAATTTGAATAAGACAAACGGTCAAAAAAAATCTAAAAGTCAAAATGACACTTTGGACGGAGGGAGTGCAATCTTGTAGCACCAATGCAAGTTATTATCGTGTTATGGCACGCCAACCAATGACACGGCCGACTTTTTTCGCTGGTAATAATTTGCTCAAGAAAGAAAGCCCAGAATGGGAAAGCAGAGGATGCTTGCTTGAATATACGCAAAAGCTAGGAGATCGACCTGGGTCGGCCACTGATGCATGGATCATCATTTGTCGGGATCAAGTGTCCAGATCACAGCTGCTAGAGCATGCTAGCTACTCGCTCTGTCCATGAATGAATAGATTTATAGAATTTTCTTAAGTTAAACTTTTTAAAGTTTGACTGAGTTTTTCAAAAAAAAATGTTAAGACTTATGATATCAAATTAGTACCAATAGATTTATTATAGAATATATTTTTACGAGGTGCTCATTTTATGACATAGATATTGTTATTATTTTCTATTAAGTTAGTTAAACTTTAAAAATTTGACCGGCATGAATTCTAGAAATTAATTTATTTGGAGACGGAGGAAGTAGCTTATTGCTCTGAATTGTCGTGTTCTCTTCATTTGTACACACGTCTTCTCATTCGCTATGCGATGTCGTTGATGGTTGGCAAATTCGGGTCACGTTCGCATGCCTTTATTTATTTGGAGCCTCGAAATTTTGTCTTGAGTAAAGTTCATGGCCGATTCTCGAACCTGTGGAGGTGTGTCATTCTGGTCCTCAAATTTAAAAAGTGTGTCATTTCGGTCCTTAAACTCTATTTGGATCTCATATTTATCCAAACGGGTATGGATTCATGCCTGCGTATGGACATAAGACTTGATTACTTAAAATAGAAGATTAGTAGGGGTTATATACAAAATCGCTTAGACACAAAAATTACACAAATATTTATAAACTTCACAAGGGGTTGTTTTAAAAATAGTCGTCTTCTTCCTAAAGCTGCGGCTTCTCGCTCGCCTGTGTGTAGCGGTGGCGGCGAGTCGCCCGCGCGCCCTATACGGAAGCAGCGGCGGCAGCTGTGGCTGCTCGCCTGCACGGTGGCTGCTGGTCCGTGCCTGGGCGCGGTGGCGGCAGCTGCTCGCCCACGCTCGTCGTTGGCCGGGCCGTCGTCCTCGTACGTGAACTGTTCCGGCGAGAAAGTGGCAGGGCATCATGAGCACGGTGGTCAGGATGTTGCTGCGGATGCGCAACGAGCTGCTGGTGTGCGTCATTACGAGCGACGCATTCTCGCCGGCAATGCGTGCTCCGTGGCGGCGGCACGCGTTCTTCATCTGCACCAGCAGGTTGTTCGGGCTGGACCCCGTGCTGTGGTGATGCTTGTTCATGCAGACGTCCATGCCCTGCACCACCATGGTGCAGCCGTGGCGCGCGAACGTCTTGTAGAAGGCCGCCGCCTCCTCGGCCGGCCACGACCGCGCCCCGTGCCCCAGTGCATGAACGGGATCTTCGCCGACAGCTCCACGGGCTTGCCGCCGAACACGGCGTTGGCTGTGCCCAGGACTCGGTCGCCGTGCCCCACCAGCCGAACACCGGCCGAGGACGTAGTCGCTGGCGTGCACTGGCGCATCGGTGCACTGGACCAGGCACGGGCGAGCAGCTGCATTGAGCGAACAGCAGCACGCAGTCGAGCTGACCATGGCGGTGATTGATGAGAGATAGAGCTGACACATAGACCCAGATTCATTTGATAAATATGAGACCCAAACATAATTTAAGCACTAAAATAACATATTTTTTTGAGTTTGGGGACCGGAAAACACACCGGTCTAAGTTTGAGGACCGACCATAGACTTTTCTTTTGTCTTGGAAGATTTGACGAGCTGAGCAGGTACAATATACATATTAATTCCTTGTGCAATTATACTATTTCACAGCGCGCGGCAACTTAATTTGGTAAAGAGTAAAATATATCGGAGGTCCATTAACTTTCGGTGAAGTGTTATCTAGGTTCATCAACTTTGAAACTGTATTTTTTGGTCCATTAACTTTCGTTTTGTGTCATCTAGGTCCATCAACTTTGAAACTATATTTTTGGTCCATAAACTTTTAAAATGGTTCACTGCAGGTCCACGCATGCATGCATGCACGTCGACTTCGGCCTCTGGTCTTTGCGTCAGTGGAGCCATGCCTGCACTCGCCGCCGTCGCTCGTCTGCCGGGCGGAACAGGATCTTGACCTGGTGAACGTGACGACGCACATGCCATGGCCTTGCCCCCTGAGGTTGCGACGGCACCAACCACGGCGTCACCGAGACAAAGCAACAGCACCACGATGCCGCCACGGAGCTCCGCCTGCACCTAGCCTCGCCGCTCTGACCACATCACGCTGCCACGGCAAGCTGTGCAGGGCACGACGTCGCGTTCACCGGCGTCCCCGTCCTCGCCAATCCCACCGCACGAGAGCACGCCAACCACCTCTGCTTCGTCGTGGCGTGTCGAGGCACGTCACAGCGTCGATTTGCGTTCGGGACCGAACCACGAGGTCGCGACGCCACTCCGTTCGAGCCCTCGCAGTGTTGTGACTAGGCGACGACCGTGCACCAACGACGTCGTGGCCACGCACGAGGACATCACCGCCTCTGCACCGGCCCTGCCTGCACCGAGCCCGTCCTGCACGGGGACATCACCGCCTCTGCACTGGACCTCCAAAGCCCCAGCCCTTATTCGTTCCTCGAAAGCCTGCCTGTCCCGTCCTTTGACGCCGGCTCTGTTTGCCTATCGTGCATGGCACGACGTCTCTACCGCGCCGGTAGCCACCCACGGTCGCCGCACGGCCGAGCGCCGTCACGAATGCGAGTAGCGCGCTCGCACACGCACGTCATGCACGGCGATGCGGTCACGGACACCGCACACATGGACACACGTTCGCCCGCGCCCCGTCCTAGCTCAGCGCTCGGGGTGCACATGCACAGCCCTGCACTCGGCAGCTCCTAACCTAGGCGACGTCGTCGCGGGCACCTGCGGACGCCGTGGCCTTGCTACCGCCACTGTCTCGCCGTCACCGCACACCCCCGGCGCCGACACAGCACGAGCACGGCTTGGCCACCTTGACCACGGCACGCCGCGACCACGCCCGTGCCACTGAACCACCTGCACACCTTGGCTTGGCCCTCACCTGGCTGCATGGAGGCCAAGGCGTAGCCTTTCCTGGCCGCCCACCGTTCTAGCACACTGATGCGGTGACCGCAGCCTTGCACACGCGCACCGCATATCCACCACGCCGTAGCTTTCCCCCACCCCCGCGGCCTCATCATGCTGTTGCCCCGGCGTGCCAAGCCGCGCTTGTGGCGCACACGCACAGCACGGCGGCGAACAGGCCTTTGCCTTGCCACCGCCCGGATCGTGGTCACGCACTTGCACAAACCCAGACTCCCGTCCTTCGACCCTTGGTCACCGTTTCGGCCTATCCGTCCTTTGGACCGCGCCCACGAAGCCATGCCCGACAGCTACGCTTGTCGCTGCCTCCTCGCCATCACACGCACGCACACACAGGCTATGGTGCCTCAGCACACCGATGCACAAGCACTAGGTCTCCACCGACGGACACCTAGGAGCACGGCCCTGCACGCGGACGCCTCGCCGGCACATCGCGGCATCACCATCGCCACCGGTCACCCGCGACCGCGGCCACACACCCTGCAGACACGCCGCGCCCAGCTCTCGCGAGCCTAGGGCCGAGCACAGTTAGGCACGCGCCAGCACCCACGTCTGGCCGCCGCAACCCCAAAGCTGACGCCTTTGAGGAACACGGAGCGCCAACCACGCAGCGCACATGCACAGCACGGTAGTGGCTGGACCGCTGCTTTGCAGTTTGCAGCTCCACCGACGCAAAGATCGGAGGCCGAAGCCAACGTGCATGCATGCATGCGTGGACCTGCATTGAACCATTTTATAAGTTCATGAATCAAAAATGCAGTTTCAAAGTTGATGATCTAAATGACATAAAACGAAAGTTAATGGACCAAAAATACAGTTTCAAAGTTGATGGACCTAGATGACACTTCACCGAAAGTTAATGGACCTCCGGTGTATTTTACTCTTTGGTAAATAATAAAACCTGGCAGTGGTATGCAGTGACCGAGCAGCTAGCTGACAGGCATGCTAGTGTGTTGTGGTGACAGTGTGCATGGGCGTGGAACAAGTGGAAGACCAAGACAGCACCGTCGATAGAGAGAGAGAAAGAGAAAGGCCACTTGTCCGCTCTCACCGGCCACTCACGTGTTGACAAGCCACAGCAACATCCAACGCCTCCGAGTTCCGACTCATCTTTTGCCATTTCAATTTCAGTCAGAGACTCCGGGTCACAGGGCAACAGCCAGCCACGTTAGGGCTCGTTAACCCCTCACATTGTATCTAAATTTCCCTACCTTTACTATTATGAAAGATAATTTAAAAAGTCATCTAACTTTGTATCAATAAATTATTCGCACCTGCCATTGTTAAAGATAATTTAAAATGTACCATAATGATTCTGTAGATTGCCCATCTTATTTATAATTATGAAGATAATACAAAGTAACCTCCTAAATTTGCATTTAACCTACTCATAAATGTCATTATGAAAGATAACATAAAGTATTACCTTTATATGTATCGACCTCAGCCATTATAAAAAAATAAACAAAAATATCTCTCAACAGCTACATGTAAATACTAATATATGTTATTACAAAATATAAATCAATATATGCAGAGTATAGACATATATAATTCTAAATTATAAACTTCTACAACAATAAAATTAAATAACTATAATGTTATATTTCACCATGTATACCAAGTGAACATATATAAATTAGGATAAATATTTGTTTTAATAATTACTTAGCATGGAAAATATTTAATTAACAAACCACATAGCAATAACATAACACTGACAATCCACTTTAAATTATATTAATACTCTATGATAATCAATCTCACAAGTGATTACTTTAAATAAGTATATACATCTTAACTGAAACATTGTGCGTTATCAACATTGCTAATTTTATTTTAAGCACTCTATGATATATAAAACAATGCTACACATATAATCCTGTGATGCAACCAATTCAACAAGTTCAGTTGGCAGGGTGCAATATGAGTTTCAACTTAAGTAACATGTGGAAACAATAATACTAGGGCCTAAACTTTTTCTAATAAAAAATAATTTTTGAATAAAAAATAAAAAACACTAGAGTTTCTACTTAACATGTGGAAAAAATTTGTGCACCTCAATTAAGAGTCGAGCTAAACTATGATTCATGAAGTCACAAAAAGGGATGCCACAAGAGTTTATATATCTTAAAATCAGATTTCAACTAAATAACAAGCTAGAAAAAATATAAATACTAAAAATTCTAACTGAAGGTCAAAATGGAGCCTCCACTTTAATCTTCATGAGACACGATAGGAAAACAAAAGATAGATCATCCTAGAAGTTCTCACAAAAATTCAAAACACGTGACCATCAATTTGGTATAACCTAATCACCATTGATGATAATAATAGTTATTGGATCTATTCTATTTTCTAAATAATTACCCACATTTGCTATTCGGTAAAACAACATAAAGTAACTCATCGCTCTATATTTAAACCACTCTGCCATTAAGAAACATGATCTAAAGTAGACCTAAATTTGCATCTAATTACCCATGTACTCCTATTACGATAGTTAATTCATGTAACCAAATTTTCATCTCATTGTCAGAAAAAATCCTCTCAAATCTACATCTAAAAATTATCAACATCTTCTATTAAAACACTGCTTAAATAACCATAGATCATGTATATGTTTCTACATTACCCACTTTTATCAATTTTAATATACTAAGATTTGATTAAAGTAAGCATACATGTCATGCCAGCATGAGTGGTAAACATTTATGTTATGTTTCATCACAAATAAAATATTCCCTTAACAACTCATATACTAATGATATTAACAAATTGTTTAAAACCATATTAGTAACCACAACATATATTATAGGTTGTTGGTTTAGATATATTTATATAACTTAACTAAATGTTTGACACCTCTATATTGATAGTATAACCACAACAACACATATAATTTCTTGTTAGGAAAATTCAATCATCTTTAGTAGCCCGGAGATCATTATATGGTTGAAGTATTAAAATTCTCTTGAGGTCAGCACTACTACCCCCATCAGAGATCTCACTTCATGCTCTATCACTTATCTTAAGTGATATAGTGTAGATTTTAAATGATTGCTTATGCTATTGTAGTCTTTAAAAACATACTCTACATGCTAAAATACTTATTTTTAAGAAGTGGAAAAGGAGAGTTAATAAAAGATACAATAAGCATAAGAGTTTTAACTTGAGGATAAAAAAACCTATAGCAGTCAATAAGAATAAAGTTTGAAAAAAAAGATAAAAAAAATTAGATTCATGATTTCATAAGATATGTGACGCAACAAGGGCCATCGTAGTTAATGGCAAGGATTCAAACGAATTGCATATTTAATATATATAAAAGTGTCATGCTAAGTAAAAATATGAATATGGATGAAAAACATATAAATCAGTAAAAAAAAGTAATTAATAAGTTTAGGATAAATTTATAGACAACGAAGTATCTATTATGTCTATTGTAGAAAATAAATAAAGAGAAAAAATATACAATTTAATATAAAAATTCTTAGTCAAATATATTAAACAATATATATCTCTTAACGTTCTAGCCCGTGCAGAGCATGGATTGATAGACTAGTATTTTATTATTTGATGCGTTTTGAAATAAAGAACTTGAGGTTTTGAAATAAAGAACAATGTCGGATATGCAAATCGGAACCTTTTTCTGAACTCCACTGAATACGCACACGACACGCCAGTACTGGAGCAGAGAGCCGCAACCACTCAAATCGATCGAAGAGACGATCGCCCACTCTCATGAGAGTGACCTCCTTGAGGCCCGGGGGTCACGGTCTGCACAGATCCAATATACCGCGGATTGCCGTTCCGTCGTCTCGGGGAGGCAGCGGTGCCGGCGACGCGTTTTGTCAAGGGTGCAGCGACGGTTACGGGTGATGCGGCTGGCTGGAAAGTGGATCGAGCTCGAACCTCCCTCGGCGCTGGTCGACGGCGAGCTGCGATCCATGGTCGGTGAAACTCGGGGTGCTCCCTGGCCGATGCTTCTTCAACGTGCACCATTTTACCACAAATTTTCTCAGAATCAACCCGATTTTCCCTAATATCATACAAAATAAAAAGTCACGGGTGTCTACTGCAAATGGTCTTGTGGTTATTGAAAAAATTGCTATTTTTGGATATTCCCGATCGGGGTTAAAAACCTCCAGATCTGGGTGCATTATTATATGTAATCAACAATGTACCCAAGCCGGAGATGTCATGGCAAAGTATGAGTAGGAATGGTGGAGTTCAAGGAGGCAGAGAAGGGTCATTGTGGTACGGGTGTGGCGTGGTCTGCAGGGACCTTCTTGTGATTTGTATTTTCTATAGGGGCTTCTGTGCAAGTTCGTTGGGATAGCTGTATCAAATAGTCTTGTATCTGTATTTGCTGGTGTCTTTGTAAGTTGTCCCTTGTCTGTAGATCCCGTGCACACTTATAAAAAAAAAGAAAGCTTGTACTCTATTTTTTCTAACATGCCGGGTGTTTAGCACTCCCGATAACATTAGGTCCCTCTAGGTGTAGGGTCTTTTTCGGCCACGTCAAGGAATACTCTTCTCGTGCTCTTCCCCATCTTCTCTCTCTTGGTGGAGGTCCTCTATGGCACAAATCACAAGTAGCGCGGATTTTTCCTATGAAAGGACAGAGACAAATTTGGTGGGGTGATAGAGTGGAGAGTGGGAAGAAACTAGTCGGACTTGAGCGATGGTCGATGGAAGGGCGCGCCCGGCCGATGCTTCTTCAACGACAGAATCAACCCGACCTCGGCGTCGGGTGCCTACTGCAGCTCATTTCAAAGCTACTATACGATGGGGTTCCTCCAGATCTGGGTGGAGGCGGGTGTTCCCGTCGCCGGAGATGGACGGAGGTGGAGTTCGCCGACGAGATCGACGTGTACGGTGGCCAGGGACCTTCTTGTGATTTGTATTTTCTATAGGGGCTTCCGTGCAAGTTCGTTGGGATAGCTGTATCAAATAGTCTCGTATCTGTATTTGCTTGTGTCTTTGTACGTTGTCCCTTGTCTAGTAATGCAGATACGTATTATCAAAAAAAAAATGGCTCAGAAAGCTGCCACCACGGCTCAAACGCACTTCCATGAGAGCGACCTCCATGGCCTCACGATCGAGTGCTATATGTTGATATGCAATTCCAGTACTGGAGTCAGTCTTTGTTGCATGCTTCATCATGTCACTCTCCCAGCTCTCTCCCCATGAACTGCTCCATTGCAGCTCTCCTGGTCCTGGTTTCCCTCTTCCTTTCACTCCATCAAAGCACATCGTGCTGTGCCACTGGCGCCGACGACGGCGCCGCACACAGCCTCTCCTCCTGCCTCATCTCCCATGGCGTCACGAACTTCACTCCCTCCCGACGTCTCCAAGCTACGCCACGGTCCTCAACTCCTCCATCAGCAACCTCCGGTTCGCGCTCCCCGACGTCGGCAAGCCGGCCGCCGTCGTGCTCCCGGCGTCCAAGCGGGACCTCCAGGGCGCCGTCCTCTGCGCGCGCAACAGCTCGCTGGCGATCCGCGTGCGCAGCGGCGGGCACAGCTACGAGGGCCTGTCTTACACGACGGAGAACCGCGTGCCCTTCGTGGTGATCGACCTCGCCAACCTGAACCGGGTCCGCGTCGACGCGGGCTCGGCCACGGCCTGGGCCGAGTCCGGCGCGACGCTGGGCGAGCTCTACTACGCCGTGGGCCGGTCCAGCCGGTCCCTGGCGTTCTCGGCCGGGTCCTGCTCGACCATCGGCCTGGGCGGCATCGTCTCCGGCGGTGGCTTCGGGCTGCTGTCGCGCAAGTTCGGGCTCGCCGCCGACAACGTGCTGGACGCGGTGCTCGTCGACGCGGACGGCAGGGCCCTCGACCGGGCCACGATGGGCCGCGACGTGTTCTGGGCCATCCGAGGCGGCGGCGGCGGGAGCTGGGGCGTGGTGTACGCCTGGAAGCTCCGGCTCGTCCCGGTCCCTCGCAACGTCACTGTGTTCTCGTTGGGCCGGACTGGTCCGGTCGAGCTCATCGCCGGGCTGATTCACAGGTGGCAGTTCGTGGCGCCCAGCCTGCCCGACGACTTCTACCTCTCCGTGTATCTCCCGACCGGCGGCGTCGGGTCGTCGTCGTCGTCGGATGGCAACGTGTCCGTCTCGTTTTCCGGGCAAGTGCTAGGACCAAAGCACCGTGCTCTGTCAGCGCTGCGTCAAAGCTTCCCAGAGCTAGGGCTGACCGAGTCAGAGCTCGCCGAAACGAGCTGGCTGGACGCGACCGCGCAGTTCGCCGGCCTCGACACGGCGGCCGACCTTTCGAACCGCCTGTTGGGACGGTCGAAGCAGTACTTCAAGGGCAAGTCCGACTACGTGCGGTCGCCGATCTCGCGGCGCGCCATGGCGGGCATCGTCCGGTACCTCTCCACTGGCCCGCCGCGGCAGGGGCAGGGGCAGGGGGCCGGGTACGTGATCCTGGACCCCTACGGCGGCGCCATGGCCCGGATCGGGAGCAGCGACACGCCGTGCCCGCACCGCGCCGGGACCCTGTACGGCGTGCAGTACCAGGTGTGGGACTGGACGACGACGACCTCGGTGGCCGCGCGGCCGCCGGCAAGAGCTGCGTGGGGTGGCTCCGGTCGCTCTACGCGTTCATGGCGCCCCACGTGTCCAAGGAGCCCCGGGCCGCGTACGTTAACTACCTGGACCTCGACCTCGGCACCAACAACTGGACCGCCTCAGTGGGAGGGTCGTCGGAGGCGGCGGTGGCACGCGCGCGCTCGTCGTGGGGCGTCGCCTACTTCGGGGACAATTTCAACCGATTGGTCAGGGCAAAGACGGCGGTGGACCCCGGCAATGTGTTCAACAATGCACAAAGCATTCCTCCTTTGTAAGCTGTGCAAAATTTCTCATGCAGGGGTGAACTTGTAAGATGTACGTAATTAGCAATAATGTTTCCATGGCACAGCCTGATCTATGGATTTTCAGTTGAGTCAGTCTTGAACATGTCAGTGCTGTTGCTTGAAATGTGTGAACACCTATGGATTATATTTAGGAATATGGCAGCATAGGAAGATGTTGTGTCTTGGAGGTCATAGTAGTATAACGACATTGGCAAAGCATACCTGCATAACGTGTTATGACTTCCATGGTTAATTACTCAAATAACTATTTGAGTAGTTTATTTATGCCTTCCTAGATACTTGATTGCATGGTTTTACGCAAACTCTATCCTGCGACTCGTCACGCTCTAACGCGACAGCACGACCCTGCTCTCAAGCTCTCCCTCTCTTCTTCCCCATTTCCGGAATCCTAAAAAAAAGAGTTTTGAGGAGGCAGGGGCGGTGGGGACGGGAGAGACAGCGACAAGGTGGATGCGGCAGTGACGCCGACGGAGCGGGCGACTGAGCCAAGTTGGGGCTAGGGCGAAGAATGGCCATGGCGGCAGGGAGAGGGGGAAGGAGGCTGCCACAGGCACGGTAGTGTTTCACCGGAGCTCCGTGGCCAGGGTAGTGCGCCCCCCCACCCCCACATGTGACAAGAAGTATTTTTATTAGTATAATTGTCGGGGACCAACACTAGGGTACTCGAAGAGGAGTTAATAACCATCAACATTGATTCGTCTAAGCAATCAAGAGCGCGACTACACCTCTTGCAGGGCTCCGCCTCATCCAGCCACCAAGGCCGCGGGCTCCGCCTCGCCCGACCCTCGAGGATCGACTCCGCCTCGGCCGACTCCTGAGGGTTGGCTCCGCCTCGTCCGACCCGCGAGGGCTGGCTCTGCCTCGCCCGACGTCTGAGGGCTGGCCCCGCTTCGCCCGACATCTGGGGGCTGGCTCCGCCTCGTCCGACGTATGAGGGCTGGCTCCGCCTCGCCCAACGTCTGAGGGATGGCTCCGCCTCACCCGATCCCTCGGGCATGGATCTTTACGGAAGCTCACGACAACTGCTACGGTCCAGGAGGTGTGACCCAAGGTCAAACCTCTAGCACCGTGCGGGGAGCGGTCACATCTCAACATGACCCGTCCCCGCAACATGTTATTCCAGGGAACTCGCATCGCCCACAGTGACGTATGCGTGGTCATTGCGCTGCCTACTCCCTGTACGACCGCTGATCAGCACACTAGTTCACCGCCTCGCCCGCCAGGACAGAGTGCAACGTGATGACCTGCTGACAAAGCCAGGGCATGGCATTGTCAGCAGACAGGCGCCCAGCATGGCCCTATCATGGTTAGCGGATAGGCGCCCGGCGTGGCCCTATCCCTGTTACCGCCTGCCATGTCAGCGGGGCCCGCACGGAAGGAAAGGAAGGCCCGGCGACCCTGAAGGACTTTCCTTGCCTCTCGTTTTCCTCTTTTCCCCCATTTGTAACCCATGTTCTCCCTTGGCCTATAAAAGGGAAAGCAGGGCACCCCACTAAGGGGCATCGAACAACCGCATCGGTTCAACACACAACACACCACATAGCAGCAGAACCACTGGAATCGAACCTCGAACACATAGTTGAGTAGCGACCGAGCTCTCGGCATCCAGTTGATCTTCCCATCAGGGACTTGGGATCTGTCCCTCTCTCACCCGTTTGTAACCCCAACTACAAACTTTTCAGTGCTAGTAACACGAGCAGCAGCCACGAACTGGACGTTGGGACATTCTGCCCAAACCAGTATAAACCTTGTGTCATCTTAGCACACCATTTGAGCCAGACGTGCAATAATACAAATTTACTCATTGGTGTTTACTCGAAACACTGATAGTTGGCACGCCAGGAGGGGGCTTTGCGCATCTCAACGTTAACATCAGTCCACGGATGGCAAGTCACGACATCAGCTAGGTCCCGGGTGCACACGTGCGCTTTGGAGACCTAGAGTTCATCGTCACGACGGAGGGAGAGCTAGCGCGGGCGATCATCGTCATTCAACCCTTCCACTCCACCAGCCTCGACGCGATCACCGACATGCTCGAGGAGCTGTGGCTGCCTACGCCGGAGGCCCGTGCCCTCAGAAGCGGCTAGCCCCTCGACTTCGACTATGGGAGGCTTGAGCGCTAGCTCGGTGTCTTCCTGGGACCCCAGTCGTCCCGGGAGAACCTGCATCGCCTCACCTTCTCGTTCGCCAATGTCATGGCATAGCTTGCTAGAGGGGAGCCACTCTCCCTAGAACGCCTCATCTAGAGCGCCCCAACAGTGCTCCCGTTCGGTCTTCGCAATGCCGTAGAGACCGTTAACCACCTTGTGGCGCAACGCATGATTCCAGCTCCCACGAATGACGAGTTTGTGGGGGTGATCGAACATGTGTCAAAGTCTTTCCATGACCTCCTTCTAGAGGAGCCGGAGTCACCCTCTGGCTCTGACTCCAGTAGGGGGAGCCATCACCCCTCTCGTGAATGCTTCATGATAGGTACCCCCGAGGGACACGTCGAAAGCATCCACGAAGAGGAGGCTACCCCGACGAACGACCTCGATGATGAGGTCGAGGGGGAGTCAGCGGCCCCACCTCGCATGTGGGTGGAGCGGTGAAAGCCCAACACCAAGAGCTCGAGGAAGCGTGACTCCAACTCGAGCAGGAATGCGTGGAGCTCGATCAAGAGATCGAGCGCCACGGAGACGGTGGGTGCGTGCGCGCCATGGCAGCCAGCCAGCGCACGCCCTCAGAGGGCCCCAGCAGGGATGTGTCGGTACATAAGGCACCACAAGGCGGTAGGCAGCGCACCACGGTTTCGGTGCATCAGTGTCTCGGCCACAACCATGACACACGTGACACCCTCGATGCCCGCAGGCGTGCCTACGATGACTTGAGAGAGGGAGCTAGCCGTGGCTATCACCCTCGTCGTGGCGAATGCCACAACAGTGACGAGGACCGAAGCCCAAGCCCTGGCCTGCCGGGGCCTCAGGCCTTCGGTCGACACATCCTCAACTCTACCTTCCCGCCAAGGTACCAACCACCAACCAACATCCCAAAGTACTCTAGGGAGACGAACCGGACTATGGCTCGAAGATTATCGACTTGCCTGCCAAGCCGGTGGTGCGGATAATGATGATTTCGTTATCCACAACCTTCCATTGTTCTTGGCCGATTCGGCACGAACATGGTTGGAACACCTGCCATCAAACAGAATCCAGAGTTGGGCGGACCTAAAGGAGATCTTCGTGGGGAACTTCTAGGCACATACAAGCGCCCTAGGAACCCATGGGACCTCAAGAACTTTCGACAGAAGGCCGGAGAAACCCTCCGTGGGTACATCTGGCATTTCTCCCGGTAGTGCAATGAGCTACCTAATGTCGCCGACACTGACGTTATAGGAGCTTTCCTGTCTGGGACCACCTGCGAGTCTCTGGTTCACAAGCTAGGACACAAGGGCCCACGAACCACCAAGGAACTCCTCGACATCGCCACCAGCCACACCTCAAGCAAAGAAGCGGTTGGAGCGATCTTCGACCGCCTCAAGGGCAAGGCGAGGTGGGACGAGGACACCGGCAAAGGCGCCTCCAATCGTCCCACCAAGAAGAAGAACAAGCAGCAGTGCGAGGGCTCACTCGTGGACACCGCAGACCACAGGGGTGGTTGGAAGCCCGTGGAGGGCACTCTGAACCACTTTGAGAAGCTGCTTGAGGGACCATGCCCGAACCATGCCTTCCCCATCAAGCATCTATACAAGGACTACGGCCTCATGAAGCGGTTCTTGTCTGGAGGCTCCAACAAAGGGGAGAACGAGAAGGACCCTGATCAAACCATGGACGGCGCCGAGGGGAAGGATGGTGGTTTTCCGACACCGGACGGCTGCCTCATGATCTTCGGAGGGTCGACGGCCTACGACTCCAAGCGCCGCCAGAAGGTCGCACGCTGCGAGGTCTATATGACCAAACCAGCCAAGCCTACCTTCCTCCGGTGGTCGGAGTCCGCCATAACCTTCGATCGGACCGACCACCCGGAGAGCATCCTGCAACCAAGGAGATATCCGCTCGTGGTCGACCCGATTGTCGGTATGAAGCGCCTCACCAAGGTACTGATGGATGGGGGTAGTGGCCTCAACATCATATACGCCGAGACGCTCGACGCCATGGGCATCGACCGAGCACATATCCGGCCGACCGGAGCACCTTTCCACGTCATCATGCCTAGAAAGCAGGCCGTACCACTTGGGCAGATCGATCTGCCCGTCACCTTCGGGGGTCCATCTAACTATAGGATGGAGACCCTCACCTTCAAAGTGGTTGGGTTCCATGGAACTTACCACGCCATCCTAGGATGACCATGCTACGCGAAGTTCATGGTCGTCCCCAACTACACCTACCTCAAGTTGAAGATGCCAGGCCCAGGCAAGGTCATCACCGTCGCCCGACCCCTTGCCATTGCAGTACTCTAGAGCCTGAGGACAACCTCTAGTCAAGCCACTGGCTACACACCCTTCTTCATGGTCTATGGTTCTAAGGCCATCCTCCCGACCGACATTGACTATGGAACACCAAGGATCAGGGCGGACGATGAACAGGGAGCCAAGGCATCCCTTGAAGACGCCATGGACCAGCTGGATGAAGCACGTGACGTTGCCCTCCTCCGCTTGGCCAAGTACCAGCAGGCGTTGCAACGGAACCACAGCCGTCGAGTGCGGGGACGAGCCTTTAACATCGGAGACCTGGTCCTCTGCCTCGTCCAGAGCAACAAGGACCGCACAAGCTCTCCCCGCCATGGGAGGGACCGTACATAGTTGCGGAGGTGCTTCGTCCAGGCGCCTACAAGCTCAAGACCATCGACGGCGAAGTCTTCGCCAATGCCTGGAACATCGAGTAGCTATGTCGCTTTTACCCCTAATAAACACACACTTTCTCTTATCAGTTTTGTTATCAAAACTCCCTGATCCTTCATGACATCTGACCCCTGCAACGGCCAGGGGTCGG